CTGTAGCGTGATTTTCTGATAGTTGCGATACAGCGTCTGCTCCATGTTGATGGAAAAGGGTCCTGTGCTCTGGCACTCCGGGCAGGAGCCAGGCTTAACTTCCGTGTTCTGAGACTGTACAAACGGACCCAAAACATAGCCGCACTTTACACAATCGTACTTAATGACCGACAGTTGCGGCAGCACACCCGTTGTGGCCGTGACCACGCCCAGTGTGCGTACTAGCTGATTGAGATGCAGCTTACGGAAGGTGCGCAGCTCCTCGATCAGCGGCAGCTCCGAAATGCGCACGTGAATTTCCGTGGTGACGCGTTCGTAAGTGGGAAAAATGGACAGCACCATGTCTTTGGCCACTTTATCGAAAATTTCGAGCATCTGGAATGGTGCCTCGGGCAAAAAGTATGCCAGCACATGCTCCTTGTTGGCTAAATCCGTGTAGGACACCACAAATGAGGATTTGTTTTGCTCGCACATGCGACGAATGCGATCACGATAGGTATATGCGCCACGTTCATCCACAAAGGTGCGCAGGAAAGATTGGAAACGATTCGCAATCTCGGTACGCGGACCAAGCATGCTCACCCATTCTTTGGTCGAGTGGCCCTTGGTATCCTCCAAGTTTTCAATGGACTCGATCATTTCTGTGTCTTCTACTTCGCCCACAGCTGCCTTCTCGCCGGCACGTCGCTTGGCACGAGGGCCCACATCATCCTCATCGTCCGACTGACCAAAGCCCAGGTCGCGATCGTCGCGATGAATGCCAGCCGCACGATCGCGACGACGCATTTCCGACTCGGCTGCAAAGCGCTCGCCTTGCGACATCTCTGAGAAGTCCTCCTCGTCGTCCAACATGGCAGGATCATAGTGATCCAGCTCAGGCATTTCGCGGTAGTCTAATTATGTTTAAACATTAAGAATTTCAAATGACTTTGCTATGAGCAGGCACTTACCGTTCTCCATGTTGTCGCCAAACAGCTCCTCGCCATCTTCATCCTCCTCGTCACGCACTGTCTGATCGCCAAGGATCTCGTCCTCATTCTCAAAAGGTTCAAAGTCACCCACAGGCGACGTCATCGCTGCGCGCAAATCGCGACGCTCGCTGGCATCGCTGGGCGTATTTGGCGGCGGTGAACTGGGATTATCCTACGCAATGGTGTTAAAAGCATTCCAAAAATATAAGCACCAGGACAACTTACCATGTTTAGTGTGTACGATTTCTCTGTATTATTTAATTGCTGCTAATTCCTAAAATACGCGCTTAGAGTCTGTTGTGCTTCGGGTGTTTTGCAGCGACTGCTATGTGAAATTGGCGTGCAATTTTGGCGGGAGAAATATCACTCACTTGATATATATCGCGGAAGTATCGCGATATTTATATATCGAAAGGATGAATGAAGAAATCGAATAAACCTTTGTCGTTAATTTGTACGCCACAGTAAACAATGGCTCTTGCCCCAACTGTTTTTTTTTTAATTAAATAGCTATAGGAACGTGAACAGCATTGGAGGCATGCATGCAATAATTTAAGAGTCTCTAACGCTAGAGTTAAAAATATCGATATTTTGCGTTTCTTGTGTATGCTAACTTACCAAAGCTGTGTGCTATGTTACTTTAGACGTGCATCGCGCTACAGTGCGCAGAATATGTACGTTATTTGTAAACCTGAACACCAGATGGCTCAATGGTCTAGGGGTATGATTCTCGCTTTGGGTGCGAGAGGTCCCGGGTTCAAATCCCGGTTGAGCCCGCTGAATCTTTTTGCATATTTGACATTTTATTTAAGAAATAATTTTTGTTAATAACAATTGGCTCAATTGCTTCATAATATGTGCTTGCTCCCTTAGACTTAACAAATTATAATTGAATAATTATACATATGGCTGCTGTATGGTCATTTTTTACTTACCCATTTACGACTAATAAACTTGTTGTGATATTACAGTATGAAATACTCGTTTGTACGTGATTCTAAGGCCTCGTACGTGCTTGGGACACTCTCTCTAATTTTCTGCGCCTTTTACTTAATTATAGAGTATAAGGCTCGCACGAGACGTGCGATTTATTGCACCGGAAGGAGTCGCCTTGCCAGTGCTACCCCGTATTTGCATAGGAATCGCATGCACCGACAATGGGCCGCTCGGTCGGTCACATGCAGAATAATTGCGGTCATACAATGACATTAAAGCGAAGTCAGAGTCGAGTGGAGTTTGGCAGCGGGTTTTCTGACTGCAACTGGGGCTCGTTCCGTGCCGTGCTTTCGCGGACAGTACAATAGAGCGTGCTGAGTAATTGCAGCTTTAAATGACATTAAACGCGCATCGTGCAGTTTTGCTCCTATGTAGTTTTATTTATTTATGGTATTTGATGTTGTTTTTGTTGGGATTCATTATTATATTTTTTTTTTTAGAGGCGCCGCTGGAAAGCGCATTTCTCAATGGTGCCTTGTTTGCCCTGTTGTCGTTGCTGGCCAGCAGTGTACGTGCCACGAAGCCGAAAGTCATTTGTCGATGCGGAATTGCAAGACATTTTATAAGCAAAGTCACCTCCAGTAACTATCCGAGACGGGGAATTATTTCTTATTAAAATCTAAAGGCAAGTAAGCCCGAGGTGCAAGGCGTGGTAAAAGGGCCAGGTAAAAGAGCAAGCGATTGCAAATTGAGTCATTTTTCATTTCAAGCTGGAAATTAATGGACATCAGCATGGCCACATAACCGAAAGGTGTTTCTTTGCCCTCAATATGTCACATTTTCGTTGCTTACTTGAGCTATTTACAAATTGAAGTGCTGTTTGAAAAGGAACACTAAAGGAACTTACATGTGTGCGACTAAAGTTCAATACCTATAGTTTATGTGTATATATATGTATATGCTTCATATCTCATGCTTATGCTTACAAAGGAGCGTATGTACTTGAACTGAGTTGTTATAAAACAATGTTTGGCCAACTAGGTCATTGGAGATGCTTAGATGCTTAGATGAGCACAATTAGATTTAAAGTTGACCCAGTAACAGCACATTGCAATTAATATGAATAAATTAAGAATATTATTAAGTTGTTTTAATTTAAACTTTAAGCAAATACATACATAGGTACCTGGTATTATCTTAATGAATTAAGTCTGGTGTCACTCAGACGCAGCCAACTTAATGTTGGCTCAAAGTTGCCACATCGCTTCCATATAAACGCATATGCACATAAATTTAAATTGCAACCTTCTAACGTGCTCTCATATACGCATAAACTCCTTGTGTTACCCGCAAAATTTGATCCCTTTTTTCATAATTTAGTGCACACAGTATACAATGTATTAAGTTGTTGCACTAATACCAGAAGACGAGCTGCCATGGCCATAAAAAGCATATAATTTCATGGTGCCAAGCGAAAGGTAAGTTAGCCATATTCGAACCTCAATGTATGTAGTATGCCCCTTCTTATATATGTATGTATGTACATGAATATAATCTCTCTCACATTATTTTGCACTTTTCGCGGGTTACTCCTTGCGTGGGTGTGAGAGAGGCGTTAATAAGCACAATATCACACATACACCGTACAAATACGCACATAAAGTTTGGCAAATTACGAGGTATAAAAATGGCGTCTCATTATGGTAAATTTAATATTTCATGGGCAATTTGCCAGGATTGAAACCGACACACTTCAAAAATTGCGTACCACACACAACCAAGCACACACTCTCACATACACATACACACTCAAACACAAATTGGCATTTGGGCACTCAAATTCATTCATTCTTCATAACATGCTGCCGCATAAATGTGGTCGCTCTACGCAATGTGGCAGGCAGATGGAGAAGGCGCCTCCCCCTTTCTTCATTTGCTTCACTCATACAAATTTAAACTCAATTAAAAGTTTGCGTATTAGACAAACTTGTGCCACGTTCTGACACGTTGATGACACGACCACGCCCATCTCGCCTACACTTGAATGCAATTTAGCCAGCCTCGGTGATGGGCATATGTTTTTGTGGGCGGGCAGTCGCCATCCGCAAATCCAAATGACATTCGTATTTAGATGACATTAAAAAAGTGCGCGATACATCTAAATTACTTCGGCATGACACGAGACAGCTTGTCTCTGTCTTCCTTGCACACATTCTCTCTCTCTCTCTTTCTCTTTCTTTCTTTCTCTATGTGTCTGCCTGTGAGTGACGCGTGCTGAGGTCGCCCGGCAGGCAGTTCTTCAATTGAAAGCAACAACCCATTGACATACATTGATACGCTTTTTAGTAACACTTTAGCTAGAAATTACGCAAGTTTTTACAAATCTGTAGTGACAGATAAATTGCGAAGCTTGAGATATCTGTGCGCATATATACATACATACATACACACCCGGCCTTGCTCGTTAAAAGTATTTTTTATTTCCCGCACGTTAAAACTTTAAATTTATTCGCACAATCTAAAGTTATATTTAACATATTTGAAAATGAGTTTGTACTCCATCAAATTATGAGCCAAAAGTTGAACTCAACATTAGCCCCATGGTGCGAAGCTTGACGTCGAAAAATAAAGTTTCAGTAATATAAGCTTTGACCTCCGCTTATCCTCCAAATGGGGTGAAACTTGCGAAATGTAATGTCAGGTAATTTCAGTAAAAATGTCGTATTCCTAACTCTTGCGGATTGTGTGTTGATCATCAGACATTCAGAATATGTATATACATGTCTAAAAATTTTCACGGCTTTAGCAGTAGATTTACGCTTTAATTGGAGTTTGTAGATATTTATATACATTTTTATTTTTACTAACGTTTTCCCTTTTTGCAGTACTATGTTCACATTTATTTAAGCTTTAATTGTTCTGACATTAGCTCAACCTTTTACACTAGCAATCTGATAATCTCAAAATGTTGTAACTGCCAGTTAACCTGCCTGTGGTTAAGCCACCGCATGCGATTCATTTGTCAACACTGGCAATAAACAAATATTAATCGATCGATTTATCGAAATGCTTAGCAAATGCTTTCAAGCTGTTTTCAGTAGCAGTTGTAATTTCCATGGGCGAGTAATTCTTTGTGTTATAAGTCGTTTGTTAAGTGTCGCTTCAACAACAACAAAAAAGCCAAGAAAATAACACAAAACATTACCCGTAAGCCTTCTGGCTTTAAGGCTAGTACACTTCATAAATACCCTTACCATAATCACTAGAGTTTTTTTTCCCTTCTCCTAGCCACATGGCCAATATTGTGGTTGGCCCAAATGGCGAATGGCAGGCACATAAATAATGGAAACAAATCGGCAAAAAGCAAAAAGTTAAATGCTTCTAATGACAGAAAATGAAGCAAATGACGATAAAATGCGCAAAACAAAAGAGACAAATAATAATATACCAAAATGGCGGACCAGTTAGGCGGAGAATGGGCCTGCCTGGTCAGTCCGCAAGCACGCTAACACGCTCGCTGTCTTTGTGTTTGTGTCTGTGTGTGTGTGTGTGTGTGTGTGTGTGTGTGTGTGTGTGAGGAAGAGAAAGAGAATAGAACTCTCAAAGGAGCAGAGAAAGTGAAAGTGAATTAACAACAACGAACTGCGGGCAAATCGAGAAAACCATGTGCGCGGCATAATTACGAAGCAATTAGACGATATTATTATTGAGGTCACCCGGCAGCAGTGGGCTTGTGCGGGAGCTGCACGGAACATATGGCCACTGGCCGTAGTGTTGCCACTCATCCGGCTATTTGCTGCTCCGGCTATGTGAGGCGTGCCAAAGGGATGCGTTTGTCATTATCATTCATGGGACAACGACGACGGAGCAGCGCAATGGCCACTGAATGAATACAAGAACAAAGCGTCGACTCAAGTAAACACAATAACAGCTCGAAAGGAAAACAACGAATCTTCTATGCTCTTACAAACAAATCATTAGATTTTTCTGTAAAGATTTCTTTTAATGGCAGAATAAATTAAATTCAATTGTTTGTCTAGTTTTTTTATTTATAAAAAAAAATATACTGCTTAATCTCTTAACCTCTTGCCCAGTCAAAACACTCGCTTACCTGTAACATACAGGATCCGTTAGGAATATGTGATACTCTTTTCTGCCTCCGGGTATTATCAACAAAAAATAAAACAATGCTGGCGTTGCCTCTAATGAGCATGCAATCTGCAGGCGCCAAATGGGCAATGGGTGTTTGAGCAGCTGCCGTTGGGACAGGGCCTGGAACTGGTAAGAACATAGGGGGCGGGCCTGGGACAGGAATACAGCATTGACCCTTGGGGGGAGCTAGTGCACAGACTGAATCGCGTGAAGCACTTCAATTATGGCAAATGGTTTATAAACTTGACACGTGAGTTTGTATTTAGTCGAAAATCTGTTGTGAAAATGGCTGCCTTTAATGAGTCCTGGTCAATTCGATTTGGGCCTAAAATTTCCATCGGCATCGCGTGCATGGAATTTAATAAAGCAGTCAAAACATAGAAAACAATGACAATGACAACGGCTAACAGCTGGGGCGGAACCACCCAGAAGCACAACCAATACCCATTACTGGGTGGGGCGTTACGACCTTAATTGTCGCTAGGCATCCAGCTAAAGACCTTGCATGCAGGTTGGTTGATTGGCCTGAGTTTTTTTTGTTTTCGGGCTGGCAGGTGCAGTCCAACAGTATTCGTTGCATACTTTCAGGCGTTCAACTTTGCGGGTTGTCGAAAATCGAAAATGGCGTATCGCAAACCCCAAATAAAGTTGACTGTAAAGCCCAGGCGATGGTTACAAGGTCTTAACATTGATTTTGAATTTGATTTTGACAATTGTTGTAAATATGCACGTGCATGCATGTAAACGTGTTGTATACCATATGTGGCTCTGGCATATCAACTTTGAAGGACTTGAAAACATTCTCAAGAGAGACCAAGTTGCCAAGTTGTCTCTATGAATGACTTGGCTAAAAGTTTCAAACTAATTTAAAGCCTGGGTTAGTAGACAACACTAAGTAAAATGTTGAACTAAGAACTGAAACCGATGTTATACGCAAAATAAATCAAATTCAAATTCCAGCCCTTCATATCGGTAGGCATTTTAAGCTCCAGCGTTCTTCAATGGTTCTACAGCTTTAAATCTGATTATGGAAATTCTATTAAAAACTTTGATGGGCTTGGAAAATGTTAGAAAATCACGCACCCGTCTAAAGTGGGACGGAAATCGAGTTAGCCGGTTGCGGGTTGGGCTCTGCGCGAGGTGCAACTGCAGCCTAAAACGGAAACGGAAATGTGACGTAAATAAATACCGCACTAGCACGCATATCCTTTACCAAAACAAACAACAACAACAGATGTAGCAAAATGCAACGGTAACAAATTTAAAAATAAACATTTCGCTGCATGCTGGCAATTTTATACGCAAATTTTTGTGAACAAGCATTGACTCTATTGTTGTTGCGTTCCTATTTTTGTTGTTTGTGTTTTGTCATTGTTGCGTGTTGTTTTTGTTGTTGTTGTGGTTGAATTTTGTTGTTGAACTATGCGTCACGCAACGTGTTTTAATTAATTTATGCAAATTGTTTAGTTTGGCGCACAAAGAGCTTAATTAAAGTGTTGGATTATTTTTTAATGGTTCTAATTTATGAACATTTTGTTAACATACTTCAATAAAAAGTTTGTAAGTAATCAAAAAATTTTAAAAGATTTGTACGTGCCACATTTTTAACACGTTTTATTTGTTCATTTTATTTTAAACTACTTTGAAACATATACCCTAATATCGAGGCAAACATGCATCGAGTTTGGCTGTAAACACTTTTGCTTGCACGTTCTATTCGTGATCAGCATACCAGCCTCTTGCAGAGAGTACGCGAAACGTAGCCAGGACACAAACCAATACTGGAAGTCTAAGTGTTTGTCTACACGTGTTTTGCTTTTTATTTTTATATTTTTTTTTATTTTCTGCAAAGCGTACATTGTCTAATTGTCCGAGGCTGTTGCACTGATGGCAATATATTTGCGTCCATTTATGATCACAGTCTGCATTATGGGTGGTGTACATTTCCGACTGGCGCTGTGGCTGGCAGCACCTGCGACGGCAGCAAGTGGCAGCTTTGCAGGTGTCGCTGCTTTGGGCTCTGGTGGTATGGGCTTCTTCAGTTCAAGCGCTGGCAGTTCCAGTTGTATTCTTCGCAACTCTTTGTTGTCCTGTTCATTCTCTATATTTTGCGTTTCATTTTTCGCCTTGCAGCATTTCTAATATCGTATATACATACATATATATATATATTTATCAATAAATATTTATATAAATATTTGGTTAGGAATAAAGAACAGCTTACGGGGCATAGGTAAATATCCTTTAAAGTTATTGAATCTTTGACAACCTTTCGGGTTCGAGCCTTGCACTTGGAGCAGATGGAAAACGGGGCCATGACCTAAGCGCGTTAGCTGTGTGCTAACAGTATACGAACAGTGTTGGTTAACGTACGTAAAGGTGCTAGGGATGTTAGTAAGCGTGTAGGACAAACAATAACTGCGATAGCAAGTATTGAAAATACTAACGATTCTTATTTTTATATTTTCTTTAGGTCTTGACAAATTGGAAACATTTTTAAGTGCTTGCATTTGCATTTTGAGTTTTTATGAGTTTTGCTCTAATAAAACTGCTCAGAATTTTCTGAAAAATGGCCTGGCAACTGCATCCGCTGATGGCCTGTGTAATGACCTTTGATGTCAGCTGGCTGCTGGTGGTGATGCTGATGCTGCTGGTTTAGTCAGGGCTCGTATTCGTATTAACGCCATTAGGCCAATTTGGCAGTTTGCCCTGACAAAAAACTTTTACAAAGGTAACCGAAAACGTGGCCCAAATGGCAGTCACTTGTCTGTAGTCTGCGAGTCGTGCCTCGTTCCACTTTGGCCCACACCTTGGCACCTGTCCCCACTTCATTTTACAGTTGCCTTTTGTACACATATCTATGCAAGTTCAAATAAAAGTTAAGTGTGCAAAACAGAAAAATGTCTGCAGCTGACACAGTCGCAGTTGTTTCTTGTTTGTTGCCATGGCTGCAACATTTCTCTTCGTTAACCCAAGTTGGCTTTAATTACGATCCCAGCCAGTGAGCTAACAGCTGTGCCCTCGAATTTAACTGACATTGTTGCATTGTTTCCACTTGCTCGTGCATCAATTTATGTTCGTTCGAATGCTCTCCTACTGCCCACGAGGCACACTCAGATACAGAAAACTCGATGACCAACACTGGATGCTAACTTTAAAGAAAAACACGGTTCCAGCTGTGCTGGACTATTTATTGCCTGTCAAACACTATGAATTGGCAGCGCATGCAGCTAAAAATTGTTGCATTTATTGCATTTATTTCGTTTTTCTCTTCAGCTGAAATATCTTTAAATATGCCGAAAAGTATGCAAAATACGTGTGGCCTAATTGAACCAACAGCAAGAAACGGACGCTTAAACTACTCGACTAGCTGATGCTTGTTATTCACATCGAAAGATGTGATTTTTTAATAAAAGTTATGGTTAATTTTTGGGGACACATTTGACACTTCAAAAAAGAATTACACATCAATTTTTGTCTCTGTAACTCATCTTGCATTCAATATTATTGCACTTATAGAAACACACAAATGTATGTTGATAGATTACTTAGATTAATATAGTTATTGATGATGATATGTATAGGTATCATTTATATGATATGTATCACTTATGCTACATGTTACATACTTTGACACAACTCGATTAAATCCTAAATTGAACGCACTTTATGCGTATAGGGTAAAACAAAGCCAGCTATGCGCACACTTGATTCTTAGAATTCACCAAGCAGGTAGTTATGTGCACAATATTTTTGTCATTCGAAACGTTTTGTTGCATTTCTTCTCACACTGTTTTAGTTATTTACATATTAAACTGTTACGAAATGTATAATTTACGCTTCTCTTTGACATAGCTCGCAATTATAGCTCGATTGAAGCCGACTTGCCTTTAACTGCTGTTTGGGACTTTGTTGACGAAGCTAAACAACGGGATCATGTGCAATCGAAAGAGTTATCGATCTATCGCTTAGTGGCGCCATCTACGCAGCTTATTACGATTGTCGTTTCAGCACTGCTTTTACCATATTCGAGCTAATGACGCGTTGTGACGTCAGCTTTGCCCTACGAAAATACCAAATTGAATGAAATGGACAGACAAAGTGTTTGATTTATTAGTTTTGTCATTAAACAAATTGTCGAACAATGACAGGCCCAATGCAAACTATATACTGAGACATATTCAAACATGTAGTCGCTAGCACTTATTTATGTAGATTGATATTTGTTTCTGATAAACATAGCCATTGACGCAAATTTGAATAAACATTTTCATTACCGAAATATGCACGAGTCCCCAATGACGTCTACAGGCTGTGGTTGAAGGGAAAACAATCACTTTGCTTCAATTGATTTTCGATTGGTCATCATCCTCTGATGCTTCGGCCATTGCAAGGCAATTTATGGGCACAAAAAAAAAATAAATAAAAGACTATTAATTATAGGTTCAGCGCACAACAAAAGGATTCAATTTAAGTGGCTAGGCATAATGGGTTTGTAATGAGCATATAATATGCTTACTGGCTGGTAAATACATATCTATGCAATTAAATATAATTGCAGAGTTTCAAAAAATTAAACAATTGTTTTAATATGTACGATTGCTTGTGCATGCTAATTAAGTAAAGCTTTGCGAAACCTTAAATCTTCTATTTGTTCCACGTCCACGTCTGGCGACGGCATATCGTAAAAGGGTTCCTCCACGTCAACTTTAATACTTTCACAACATTCCTCTAGTTCTTGTAGGAGTACGCCATCTTGAAACTTCTCGCGCAACTTTTGAAAGAGATCGACTTTGAGCTTGCGGCGTCGTTGCTCCTCCTCGATAACACGCCGGAATACAGCATTCATATTCTGATGGTTGGTTTTATTTTGGCTCATGCTAACAATGGCCGCCTTCACGTGGTCAATGGTTATGTGCATTGTCTCCATGCTACGCTTGCTGGTCCAAATCGCGACACAACGCTCGCACAGCCCGACCACAAAATTGGTCACCTTCTGAGGGCACATCTCGCATTTGGCCACTTGCAACAGGGGATCGCTTTGATATGCATTCATATTGTTAGTATTCAAATTTGATTTTTTTGTTTTGGTTAGTGTGTTAGGTTTTTGTGGCTGAAGTATGTCAGAAGAGTTGCCACGTGGTATTGGCTGCGCACAGGAAAAAATTTTGATTTTTGCTTCTCAACACATATTTTGTGTTCTTAGGATTTTTTTCATTTTTCAAATAATAGACAATCGTCGTATATTTTGACTCTAGCATCTATTCTGTTTTTTTAAATTTGTTCAATTATAACTTTTAGGCAGCGTTAATAACAAAAATTTCTGCTGAACGCATCCAGTGCAATAATTAAAAAATAGTGTTGCAAAATTTAATTAATATACTAATCTTTAAGTTAAGTGTTGCCTCAGCAGTTTCTGAAGTTTGTCACATTTCCGCTTCAAATAAAGTTGGCAGACCTTAGCCCGCTTCTGTATGAAACTTCGAACTGTGACTAGGCTCCAAATTTTGAACTATTGTTTACTATTATACACTACTCTGGAAAAATTCATATTAATTGATGACCAGGTAATGCGCATATATCTTAAATCAGAGCTAAAAGGAGTTACGAATATGTATGTTGTAATATAGCATTCAAAAGTGTTGGCATGTGGGTTTTGGGAATCAATTTGGATATTAAAGCCTTGGCTTTATGGTGTTGGCCGTTGGCTGTTAGCATGCCAGCCTGAGGCCACTGCGAGGCTCTTTTCGTTTCAACAAAATTCGTTTAATTTCTTAAATTGAAATTATGGTAATTTCCTGTAGTCATGCAAGCCTTTAGCGCCGCATTTCGTGTCTGATCAGATGGTGGGGGCTGACGGGGCGGTTGACGACGGGCATATCGGGTGATTCAGCTAACCAAAAGTCAAGTTCATAAATTTAAAGCAAAATAAGCAAATGCAGTCGAGGCGGTCCCTTTTGGCCATAGTTTCTCAGCTCCCCCACTCAAGTTTGACAGCCGATGAATGCTTTTGGGCTGTTGCCACTGGGGACGCTTGGCTTTCGTCATTGAAGTGCCGCTTTCAAGGCTGCCAACCCAATCGATAATAACTCGCACCCAATTCAGTGGCCCTCCTCTCTGCCTCTGCGGGGGCGTCAGCTGTGGGGCGTTATTTACAATGAAATTATTCAACTGTTGATTTATGATTTACAAGCGCAATTAAAGCCGCGCCCAAAGCCGCCAAAAAAGACACATTATATGTTCAATTGCCGTGCATGGGTATCCCAATTGTGAGCGACCCGCACCAGCATGCCCCAAATAATCGTGGGAAATTCAACACGGACTTGGAACACAAAGAGCGCTCCTGGCAATGGCAACTTGTTAAGCTTGTTGTTCTCTCAATTGCGGCCTTTAGTGGCATTTCACTCGAATCATTGCGCCTCTGACCCAAACCGCCAGCCCTCAACTCCCAACTTCACCCTACCCGAACCCGAACAAAGCGATTTGCCATTTGCATGGCCAGGCAGCTGTGCCGCGTGCAGGTGGGCGGCGTTTTGGATACCTGTTGAGATGTGTAGCACCACGCCTCGCTTGGGGGCAGTTTTCGATTTGTACGAGCAGCAGGTAGCTTTGCAGTCATGTTGAGCATGATTTGCTGCGACTACTGGGCGTATCCTTCATGGCCCGTTCTAGGAATGTGAAAAGGGTCAGACTTTGGCTTCATATAGCTCCTTGAAATTCGGAAAAAACAGCAACAAGAAGTGCGTGCCACAGCTTTCAAGAATTTCACCCACAGCAAATTGCAGTTGAACATTGTGAAATACTAGAACTTCCTAACGAATGAACTAAATATTTTTGGCATTGGTCAAAGGCAAAGTTTCAAAAAATCGTTCCATGTCACAATCAAGTGCAGTTCACGGTTAAAATTTATGTTAAATCAAGTGCAGCATGTTTATGCAGAATATTTATGTTAAGTTCACTGAGTTTAATTTATAGAGCTGTCAAAAACAAATTCTAGATTTATTTATTTTAGAAGGGAAATTAAATATAACAAGACTGTTCTATTGGGGAGTGACCGATTTGTCAGCACAAACAGTTTTATGTATCGAGATAAATATTAATTTATAATAACGTACTCACCTGTAAAATCACGCACACAATTATTTTATCGTCATCTATTAGTAGATAAATCCATCACTGAAATAACAGAAAAGCAGAGATAATGTTTAACGCAGCTTGGTTGCTAAATCTCACTTAAATTAGTTAGCATCGGTTAGTTGAGCAATATTTATAAGCGCTCAGTATTTAAAAACGCTCAGCTCAACGTACACCCATATTTAAATACATACTCACATTTAAACGCATGTATTCGAATAGATATAAACAAACATGCATGTATGCGATTGTAAGAGTTGATATAAATATTAAGACTTCGTTATGTTTATAACACGTACCAGCTATTTGAATGGCCGCATTTAAATTGCCTAAGCCATAGCCATCGCCTCCTCGATAGGTGACTATGAAGACCGCCGTCTCCTTCATAGTTAAAACTTCCTTTTTTCAAGCTGCTGTCTCCTCCATAGTAAAAGAAGCCGTCTCCTCCTCTTGAAGTGAAGCCTCTGAGACTTACTTAAATTTATGAGAATCGCATAGTAGGGCTATAGCTAAGCACTCGTTATTTTGTTCAATTGCAGCGCAGCTAGAGGTTAACTTGGTTTTGCATATACACATGCAAACATACAAATATTATTATATACATACGTATATTCAAATAATTGCATATTAATACTGAGAAACACACACACATGCACGCTTTCATACATTATACATGCATACAAACATACATAAATACATACATGCATACATTATACATACATTCATACTCACTTGCATACAACTTATATAAACACAAAAATACATACACACATTCAACCTCACATAAACACATACATACATGCTTACATACATACATTCATACTTACATACTTACCTACATACACGGAAACATACAAACATACATACATGCATACTACCCATATATACACACATACATATATATATTTAAATACACACATACATACATGCATACCTACCCACTAATACACACATACATATGCATATAAATAGACACATACATTCATACATACATATATACGTAGCTGTGAAAAGGGCCATAGCTGGCCGAACGGGCAAATAAAATACCTGCATCGTGTCGGTGATGCTATTAGAAATATTTATATTCTAATTAGGCATTTAATTTTAAAATTCTTATGTATTAAATATTTAGGATGACAATCGTTCTGTCGACCAATTATAAATAAATCAGCTAAATTTTCACGAATGTATTTGAAAATGAGTTTTAAGCCTATTAGATGACATACAAAAAGATCGAATGTTTACCGCCAAATTCATTGCTGCGGGTGGAATCTCCAAACCGCAAAAACGCGTGTTCATTAAGTTCTGCTTGGACTCTGCGAGTAGTGAAAAACACGCCCTAAATGAATTTGAACAAAGATCTTTGAAAATGAGTTTGTGGCCGATCAGAAGGTAAACAAACGGGTTTCATACAAACCATTCGTTGATACAAAAAGTCCTCTGGTATATCAGAGGGCCTGATTTGTCTAACATGCCTTTTTGCTCAGATGTGTATCCATACCATACTATACTATACTATAAAATACAAACGCACATTATGCTCCGAGTTGAGTTAAGCTTACAAAACTCGCTATTCCGAATTGTGCTGCCTATTGCTTACATAAAATCCAAAATATGCTCAATTAGCTAAGTGCAATCAATATCAATCGAAGTTGCAGAATATATGGGGATGACTGAATAAATGATAAACTACGATGTACAATAAACTACATTCGGGAATCTGGAACTTCTCCGATTAATAAGTTTGCACACTCAAAAAGAGGAGCTAAATCGCTGCAGCTCGTCGGCGCATGTATCTTACCCACTTTTTTTTCTGAAAACCCATTTTCCGTAGGCGGCACATCCAATTATGGAAGAGGCCATCATAGATCTTCAACTATAAATTGAATAAAAATTCAATACCGTCTTGTGTTCTTGATATTGTTCAGTATTGGCCCCCCCAACTAATCGAAGCTGTTCAAATTTACTTCATAGTTATGGCATATTTGCGCCAAGATCAAAACTTCCTCTGCTTCCGCTGCGACCGCATTAACCATAACCGCACTATCTTGTTTTGGGTATTCCATAGACAAAGAGCGACCACAAAGTCAGGCAAGTTCAATTTTGGATTTGAATGGGCACCCCTAGCAAGCAACATGAGCACAAAAACCTCGGCTGTGGAGCTTGCTCGGGAAAAGGCCATAGACGAAATGACAAGGAGGTGTAGTTGACGGGTTGGGGGAGGAGGTGTGCACACATGAACGCATGGCGCATAAACCAGTTAGTTTCGATGGCTGCTGTTGGGATTTGGAGGAGGGGTGGCTAGGTGCTTGGTGCTTGGTGCTTGGTGCTGCAGCTCAACTGTAAACATCATCATTGGCGCTGTCGTTGTGGCCCCGGAACTGTCTGGAATGGCTGCCAGCTCGATACCGGGTGCTACCCATAGCGACTTTGTGTCTATTTCCATGCGTTGCTCTCTGACGTCGATAGCGCCGCCGATGGATGCCTTTGATTTCATTTCACTTCATTTCATTTCTGTTGTCGCAGAAGCAAACTCGCGACTGCGTCGCTGCTTTGTGGCAACTCATGTGGGTTGCCCATCCATCCACAAGCAACCGAGATTCAACGGCCCGGAATTGTGGACGATGATGGCTGGCGTTATACACTTACACATATGTGCTGATGTTGTTGCTGTTGCTCTTCTGATTCTCACTTAAGTGTACGCCATTTTGTTACATGGAAAATTCATTGGATTTCTGTAATTCAGTTCATAGTTGTTGTTTATGCTGACGCTTAATATACTCGCTAAAGATTTTGATTTATCTTCCAAACTAAGTGCAAATCAAAAATTTTACTCCCCTAAGAAATAAAAAACAACGCAGTAAATGGTTTTTTGTTTTCTCTTTTTCTTTCAATAATAGTTCTTGTTTATTTTTCAATATGCGCCTAGTTCTATTATTATTATTATTATTATTATTTTTATATGATTTCGATTATTTCTCTGTTCATTGTGTATTATATAAATGTTATTGTTCATTGCGTGTTCATTTCAATGCTTACCATTTGTAAGTATTATTATTTTTTTCTTTTGTTTTTGCCACTTTGCATTGTTTGCTCTTTATACGATTTTTTCAGTATATTTTTTTTATTTTTTGTATTTATTTTTTTATTCAAATTGCTTGTAAATTAAATTCTTATCAAATGTTTAAACCATAGTCTTATCAAAGCCAATTCTAAAAATAAGTGTTGTGTGCAAGTGTTCAAATTGTTATTCATTCAATATTCATACTTTGATTGCATATGTATGTATGTACATATATTATGTATTTATGTAACAACGAAATAAACAACGAGCATGTTCAACATGAAGCGTGTGTATAAAATGGATATTATGTATTATTTAATTATTAACTGCTGCTTCTTTGAGGCATATTTTCTAGCGATGCGCTGCTTAGTTTAGTACTCAATGCTTTACTTTCATTTAATTGCATGTATTTGCCTTTTCGTGTCTTACAAAATGATTTCAATTAGCTTAACTATCAAAATTTTATGCACCTCTCAACTTATGTACAACTTGTTTGCTTCTTCTTTTAATATATATATATATGTATATATTTGCCATTGTTATTATTGTTTTCGCTTAACTATGAACATTGTGATATTATCATTATCATATAGCTTCGTTATGACCTTATCAAGTTGGTTGTATTCAATTATATGTTTATCGGCTTAACATATGCGTCTGGCATTCACATTTATGTTTTTTCATGCATATAAAATATAGTTATAACACTATGCAATTGCCAAATTCCGAACATTTCTGCGCCACTCTCTAATACACTAAATGTTAACATTCAATATCCCATTGCCAGCTTGGGCTCAACTTGAACAGAATAAGTAGCTTAGCAGCATCATCTAGTAAATAGAGCGCAGTTGTTCTGTGAGCGGTTGTAAGTATGAAATGCTTCGAAAACATATTTAATCCAAAATAAAATGAAATTTCTGGCCAAATAAAATGTACTTTGTTTTGTTTTAGAAATGATATTGTCAAGCACAATTTTATATTGTGTATGAAGTACTACGGCATACATCTATTCCATTTATTCAAGCTCCGACCAGGCTGTACAAATTTTATAATTTGCTAACTTCAATAAATGAAGTTTACAACGATTCAAAAAACATTTAAATGTTGTCTTAGTTCCAGTGGAATTAGTCGCAAATGAAAGCTTTTGATAACGAAAATCAATGAAACTGTTTTTCAGAACTTTGTCTTTGGAAGTAGTTAAAAAAGCACTTTAAAAGTGTTTACGAAATTAATTTCGTTTCTGTTTTCATTACTTTTCAATAGATGTTTTTTCCTTTTCAATGCCTCTCATTGAAACTTTTTGGAAAACGTAAAACAAAAAATTTTGTATAATTAATTTTGAAGCAATACTGTGAATTAAATTGCTTTTGATTGGTTGATTTAAGTTAAAGATGGTTTAAGTTTTTTTTTTTACCAATATAACAAATTGCTACTAATAATGTATATTCATTATATATTATTAATGTGATCACAGTCAAAAACAATAATTAACTATGTCTGCAAACATTTTATATATTTACAAAAGGGAAAACGTCGTAGTTTGTTTTTATTGAATAACAAGTGATTGAACAAAATTTGGTGTGGAGTTAAAATAATACCTATTTATACCTAATAATAAAATTGATTTCAAATAAACATGTTACCAACTCCATATTAACTTGGGGCACTTTGTGAAGGGCTCATTAACAACAATATCTTCGGCTTGGACGTAGTTAAGCATTTGCTAAAGGAACGACAAACAACTATATCTTTAATGTTTAATTTTTTGATTTGTGATGTATTCAGAGCATCTATGCAAAAAATAATAGCTGAAGCATGAATATGTTTATTCAAATAAATATCCTCAATGAATGTCTTATGCGAATTTCGATTTGAGAAATAATTTCAGTTGTTGGAGGTTTTCAATTTTTTGGTTGCTAAATTTAGCTGAACTCTTGCATTCGGTTTGGTAATTAATTACTAATGCATTACAAACTTATTTATAAGCTATGCAAAATTTTACATCTAATCTTCAATTTTTATATTCTCATGTGTTTTTGTCTTTATTCTTTTCAGCAGTACAAAAATTATTCATTGCATTTATTTTTATTTACTGACAAATATGGTTTTGTGGTTTCAGTGTGCTTTTCTTAAACTTCTGTTTGTTGCTATATTTGTCGTTTAAATTTACATAACTAAATTTACATTTTCGATACACATTGCAAACATTTCTCTCGCCTTAATTTACACCTACTACATATTACATAATAAATTTGTTGCAGATACAAACACAATTCTTATGCGCCACCTTTCATCACTCTTCTATGAAAATATGCGATGTTGCATTGCCGTACATACATATATACGTATATAACCTATGCTTAGAACTAGTTTCCATTTGTTTTTGCTTCTTTTGCAGCATTTGGGTTGCCGCCACACGGCCAGGTTTAAAAATCATTAACGCTAAAAAGTAACTAAATGTAATCAATCTTAGGAATTATTCAGTTGGATCAATTATTATTATTATTATTCATGTGTTTGTTCTTTTGTTGCACTTCAGTGTTCACGTGTGTGCGTGTGTGTGTGTGTTTGTTTGTGTTTCGTATGGGTATACATATGTGTTTTTTGTTATTTGGTAGTTTTGCTAAAACTTTTCAGTGTTGCCCCCCTCCCCCCACTGTAGTTATCGACGGCCTTGGCCCTGGCTTTTGGGCGCCTGAGGAATTGTTTGGCCGCCATTGCCAATGGCATTCAGATAAGTCAGTTAGCTAGACTTGATTGACACTATGATGGAAGAACAAATAGATTATCCGTAGTTAGTTCCGCAGTGATGATTAGCTTCTGCTAGAAATCGCTACTCGTCGATGGATTCCCTAAATTGCTCTCCACAGTGTCATCTTTGTGTCAGAGTGGCGGCTTATAGACTTCAATAGCTGGCGTGAGCATGTCCACGCGCGTTGATATCGAAGTGTCACTGTACAAGGAATGAAAAAAAGAGATAGAAATAAGTTAGTTATGAGTTTATAGGATCTCTTACGTATATATAAAACAAAAATATATTTATATATATATATATACACTCATACACTTATTTGATTCTAAACATTCTAGTTGAAATTCTTAGTCCTCATGTTTTCTTTATTTATCTAACTGTTAACCATTTGGTGTACTGCACTTCTCAAAAGAAATATGAAAAAAACTCTTACAAATGTTCTCGGAAATCTCATTGCATTCGAGATTTCACCACAGAGCTGGTGAACGGAAATGATTGAATTATGCTAAAAGTTTTATAGAAACAGAATTTCAATAACTTTGTTTTCAATCGCAAAGTTGGGCGCGTGTGTAAAGTTATGAATACATCAAAGACGCCGACTGTTTAATATGGTGCCATTGAGTGTGGCTAAAAGTGCATGAAAAGAAAAGGAAAACAGTTGAGGAAACTTTATCGAAAAATAATGCAAAATAAAAGGAAAACCAAAAAAATAAAAAAAAAGGAAGGACGGCATTTTCGTCGCAACGATGAGTAAATACCCTTGTAGAAATGTTTTTATGCGAACGCTTTATTTCGGAACGAATGTTGCTATAGGTGCAATGTAGTTAAGTAGTCAGAAGAATAGTGAAGTTCGCAACTGCGCAGTTTGGTCAAGATATCTTAAAAAACAAATTAGAGAAATCTTATTCTTCGACCGTTTCTTGTTATACAAGATGAGCTATATAATATAGAAGTTTGTTATTGACAAAACTTGCAGGACAGATTAAAAACATTTTAAGACTAAACAAAACTCATTTTTCGAAAGTTTATTCATTGTCAAGAAGGGCTTGTAGTACAACGCTGACAAGATTTTGCTCTAATACAAAATCATAAATCGCTTTATAACATAAATGTAACAAGGTAACAGCCGGAGTCAAAGGACTTTAGCCAGAACACAAGCTTAAATATACTTTGACTGCACACTCGACGCATGTGCTTCAATCTTACAGCATAACAAGGACTTGATGGAGAACGCTGTGAATGAAAAATGATGAACCAAAAAGTCGGAACAAAGTGTTGGGCATGCAGTGTGAATACATTTCGAGCAGCTGCTGCCACGTCCTGGTTTTATCAACTTTTGCTGCAGTGCGTTATGTATCTGAATCCCAGAATCCAGTACTATCCGGCAGCAGTTCATGAGCTTCATTTCGTTTCATTCATTTCGGTTCAATTGTTATATTTATTTATTTATTATATTTTCTTTGCGCTCTCTGCTTTTATTGTTCGGCGAGTCTCTTCTGTTGCGTCTTGCTGTGGCTGGCCACCATTTTGCCAGCACCCACAATGCCGCCCCTTTGTTTGCTTGGATTTGGTTTCGCTTTGTAAATGAAATGGAATTAAATGAAATGTACAATTTATTGTATTTAGGGGATTTCGAATTGCTATGCGCCATACGCCATAAGCCATACGCCAAGCGGCTAACGAAAACAAAACCAAAATCGCATTTCCGCATCCTATTTCAATGTAATATATACTCGCTGCTTTGTATTTGTGTATACACATGCATAAGTATTAGTATCTGGCAGCCTGCAGCCTTACTCAAAAAGCCGCCTTTGACGTTTGTCCACGATAAAGCCTGAGGACCCAAACAGGCTTGGCGTAATATCACCTAAGCCAACTGTGTTGTAATAAAAATGTATGCTATTTTTGATCCAATACAATAAACAAACAAAAAAAAAAAAAAAAAAGTATCTGGCGAGGGGCGCACAAGCTGCTGCCTTTATTGGCATTTTATTTTAGTTTTATTTATATTGATGCCTTCTCTATACACTCGATTTCGATTTCTGTTCCATGCCGATTTGCTGCATTAGCAGCGCATATTGAATTAAATAGACATCTCGTTTTATTTGGCGGAAGTTATTATGCTCTGCATCTATAAAATAGCTACAAAGGGTATAACAAAGCCGGCTGAGTGCATGGCACATTGGATATTCCCTAGCTTGGTACAGCTTGATGTAATACATAGTTACAGCTCATTGCGAATGTGGTGAATATATTCATGGCATTCACAAGAATGTACTGATTTGTTTTTTCCTTTTTGTTTTTGCGTCTACGTTTAATTTTTTGTTCTTTTCATAATCCTTTTGTTGGATTTTTCAAGTTCCTATCCAAATCTATTTTAGCATATTACTTTATTTTCACATTTATTTCTGAAATCAAATGTAATAGAAAACAAGAGATTTTGGAGAGACTGACTGAGACCTCAGTATTTGCAACGGTCGTGCTATCCAGCTGGGCGTCTGGGCAGCAAATGCAGAGCCCCAGCAGAGAGCAGCTGCAGGTGGTGCATTAAATGTTATGTTATTGCACTTAAGTCGAAGCAGACTCAATCTCAAAAAAATGAAATTAATAAAAATGTTTGCATTAAATTTACTACAAACCTTAAGTAAATCTGGTTGGTTCGATTCACTTTCCGAACCATCTGCCTGCCTTAAGGTTCTATTCGTGAACCTGCTTTCAAACTACTATAAGCTCCGATTTTGAATTTTCGTTTAAAAGCTTTAAGAAAATAATTCTATCTATATATAAAACTGTTTGTCCTGACTGACTGACTGACTGACTGACTGACTGACTGACTGATTGGTGATCAACGCACAGCCCAAACCGTAAGAGCTAGGAAGCTGAAATTTTCACTGTAGTTACCTTATGTGATGTAGGTGCACGTTAAGACGGGGTTTTGGGAAATTCCACTCGCAAGTGTGGAAAAATCGCGAAAAACGTTTGTATGTAACTTTTTTGTTTACCATCCGATCGGCCTCAAACTTATTTTCGCACTTTTCGGAAAACCCATTCCTCCTTGGTGGAAATGGAGGTCAAAGATTTGGTGGGTGACGTTTCGCGCTCAAATTCATTTCCAGTGATCTATATGAAAAATCATTTGAGACGTGTTTCACACTTTTCGCAGAATTCAAACTTATTCGGGGGGAATGCGATTTAAAGATTTTTTGGGCGGCGTTTTAAGTTGTGTCCGATTTGCTTCAAACTTATTTTTAAAGCGCTACATAAGAACTTAATAAGTACGTATTTCAGCGATTTGGAAAATTCCACCCGCAACAGTGGTAAATTGACGGAAAAAGTTTGTATGAAAGTTTTTTGTTTACCATCCGATCGGCCCCAAATTCATATTTAAAGATCTATGTTTAAATTCATTTAAGGGGTGTTTCACACTTTTTGAAAAATCCATTCCTCCTTGGTGGAAATGGAGGTCAAAGATTTGGTGGGTGACGTTTCGCACTCAAATTCATTTCCAGAGATCTATTAGAAAAATCATTTGAGACGTGTTTCACACTTTCGCAGAATTCAAACTTCTTCTGGGGAATGCGATTTAAAGATTTTTTGTGCGAAGTTTTAAGTTGTATCCGATTTGCTTCAAACTTATTTTCAAAGCTCTCAATAAGCACTTAATGAATACGTATTTTGACGATTTGGAAAATTCCACCCGCAACAGTGGTAAATTGACGGAAAATGGTTGTATGAAAGTTTTTTGTTTACCATCCGATCGGCCCCAAACTAATTTTCAAAGATCTATATTCAAATTCATTTGAGGGGTGTTTCACACTTTTTGAAAAATCCATCCCTCCTTGGTGCAAATGGGGGTCGAAGATTTGGTGGATGACGTTTTGTGTTCAAATTTATTTCCAAAGATCTATAAGAAAAATCATTAAAGACGTGTTTCACACTTCTCGAAAAATCTAAACTCCTTCGGTGGAAAATGAATTTTTAAGATTTTTTTGGTGAATTTTAAGAGTTTTCCGATTTGCATAAAAGTTGTTTGATTCCCGTCCGATCAGTTTTAAAATATTTTCAAAGCTTTTTTGATTTTATAACATACGTGCCACGGGCAAGGCCGGGTTATACCCGCTAGTATTCTATAAACATTTGTATAAACAAAAAATATTTCAAAACCACAGATATTTTCAATTTATATTTATATTCACATGACGTCCAAGTTATTGGGGGTAGGTCCTAATCAAATGTTCTTTTTTTTAAGCAACATTTTTTATTGTTGAATTGATTTAGTTTGTCTTCAGGTTCGGTTCATCATAAAATACAATTTATATAATGAACAGAGTCGGAGCTGCTGACCGAAATAGTTTTGTGGATGTGTTAAGCGTTTCTATTGAACATTCTGACTGTGTTGATATTTTTTCCTAGTTCGTGTCGCAATATCCGCTTTGGGTGCACCACAATTTGCACCAGTTTTTAGGTCCATATGTGCTTATGTACACATGTTTTTGACTGCTCTCTTTGAACACATAGCGACCAGGGAGCAGGCAGCAGGCAGCAGGGATCAAACGGTTGTGGCATTTGGTGCTGCAGCAGCGTGTTTTCAACTTTAGGGACTTTTGGTTAAATGAAAATTTAATGTTCTAGTTCCGGTCGAACGGGCCGCCACCTGGCTTCAGACAGTGTCAGTCGACACTCAGCATAATCGCGCTTGTAATTTAATTTACACGAAACACTTCGTGCCGCAGTGTCAGTGTCGCATTTTCAAATTAAATACATAGAGAATTTGGCCAACAGTCTGTGCTAAACACCTGTTTGACCCAGATCTACACCTGGCTCCACCTAGTTCTGCCTTCTGGTTGGGACTTTCTGCCTACGGCCTTTTAAGATGAGGCTCCTTCTGATTGTCATTTGTAATCAGGCTGCTGTATCTGAGGGACGTTAAGTGAAGTTCATAAACTTGCAAATTTAACTGAGCAGCCATTTACGTGTTTATAAAGTAGCAATTAGAGTACAAAATCCCTTGATAGGCTCCGTTAATATTGAAATTAAATTGGGAAGATGTTTCACAGACTTTGAGCTCACAACGTGCAAAAATGTCTTAATCATTAGCAAAGTTTGCAGCCTACCTGCCAGATGAATAAGCAGATAGTAAATGCAGTTCGCGGTAGCTCTTACTCTTACTCTTACTCTTACTCTTACTCTTACTCTTACCC